CTGGTTTTGTGGCACAAATATAACGGTGTAGAGAAAGAGTTGAACGTGCACGGGAAGAAATGTTGAGAGCGCGAGCAACACATTGCGAGCGAACGCGAATGCAAAAACTGAGCGAGAGGGGCTGCTATTGTGTGTGTGTGTGTGTGTGTGTGTATAATAGCAAACACTGAAATACAGTTTTTGCATGCAGCAATTAATTTTGTTCACTCAAATTTAGCTTTTCTTCGCTCAAAACTTTTTTTGAATTTTTTTTTTTTTTTTACATGCGCTCAGAATAGTGGCACAAAAATAACGCCATAGTCCATGACCCTCCTGTGGACACTCTAATAGGACTGAAAAATCTGGGACTCTCCACCAATTGACCTTAGAACTGAAGAAGCTTCATGGATGAGAGGTGAAACATCTTCAAGAAACTTAAAGATTTCCAGACGCTTTTCTTTCCAAGCTCCTTAGACTACAATGACCTGGATGACTGAGAACCTTCACAAACAATGCAGTTTTAAGATATTCTGCACCAACTTCACTGTTCAGACCTGGCAGTCTGTGTTATTAAAAAAACCCAAAATATGTTTCAAACAATATCCTGCATTAAACTGAAAATTGTCTCAAGGGGTCCAACTTCCCTTTTCCCAAAGATATTCTGTTTTATGTGCAGGCTTCTAAAGACCATTAAGGATGAAAAGACTCAATACTCAGGTTTCTTCTTTAACGGACTTTTAAACTAGCTCTCAACTGGAAAATCTGTGCTCTGTTTGAATGTTTTCCTCCCTCAAATTAAACTTTGGAAACTGGAATTCGGATCAGGCCAGGCTGTGGTTATGTAATAACAACTGTAGTCTGACATTTCCTCGTGTTTGGCAATGTCTTCTGCCAAACGTCTTCTTTACCACCACCGCATCTCCTCTAATGTAAAACAGAGACACACAAAATCACCACAGACATGGACATAATGTGTAGACTCTCAGCTTTCTTTTGAGGGTATCCACATTCGAATTTATGGTGGCCTCTAGAGACAAAGCACGTACCAACTGTAAAACACGTACAAAACTCCAAAACACTTACAAATTCCAAAACACTTACAAACTCACAAACACTTACAAACTCACAAAACACTTACAAACTCACAAACACTTACAAACTCACAAACACTTACAAACTCACAAAACACTTACAAACTCTGAAGCGCATACAAACTGCAAAGCACGACGTACAAATTCCAAAGCACGTACAAGCTCCGAAGCACGCGCAAACTCCAAAACACAACGGAAGTGCTCCAGGACGCAGAATCATTTTCATGGTGATGAGAATCCCTTTCACAACAGTCAACCAAGTGAACAGCACTCTTCAGGAGGTGAAGAAAGAGACTGCATGAAAGTAAATACAGAGATTTCACTGCAAGGTGCAAACCACTGATAAGCCTCAAGAATAGAAAGGCTAAAAAACATCTAAAAAAAAGCCAGCACAGTTCTGGAAAAAACATATTTTGGACAGATGAAACCAAGATCAACCTCTAGAATGATGGCAAGAAAAGTGCATGGAGAAGGTGTGGAACAGCTTATGATGCAAAGCATACAACAGGCAGTGTGATGGTTTGGGCGTGCATGGCTGCCAGTGGCACTGGGACACTAGTATTTATTGATGATGTGACACAGGACAGAAACAGCCGGATGAACTCAGAGACTTACTGTCTGCTCAAATCTGGCTAAATCCAGTCAAATTGATTGGGCGGAGTTTCATAATACAGATGGACAATGACCCAAACCATACAGCCAAAGAGTTTATTAAAGCAAAGAAGTGAGATATACTTGAATGGTCAAATCAGTCACTGATCTTAACCCAACTTCAAACAGAAAGGCCCACAAACAAACACCAACTGAAAGCCGCTGCAGTAAAGGCCTGCAGAGCATGAAAAAGGAGGAAACCCAGCATGTGGTGACGTTCATGAGTTCAAGACTTCAGGCTGTCATTGCCAGCAAAGGG